TGAATCATAATGAAAATATAGTAAGCCCGTTTCCAATATCAGGAATGAAATTGACCCTGACCTTTCATTTGTATAAAGGCTAACAAGAGGATAGTAAACTACTTTATGCCAATCAATCCAGCTTAAATATAATGGAAAAATTCCTTTAAAAGCACAACTTACCAGAACACACACAAGAAGAAATAGAAAATCTGAATAGCCCTCTACCTAGCAAAGAAATTCATAATTAAAATCTCCAGCAGATGACTTCATTAGTGAATTCTAATGAACATTTAAGGAAGAAAGATAATAGCAATCTTAAACAGTTTCAGAAAATAGAAAGAAGGGAATACTTCCCAACTCATAGTATGAGGCCAGCATAACCCTTATCAAAACCTCACAAAGTCATTACAAGAAAAGAAAATTACAAAACAATATTATTCAGGAGTAAAGAAGCAAAAACTCTCAACAAAATATTATCAAAGGAAGTAAACAATATATAAAAAGGATAGCACACCATGACCGAGCATCTTAATCTCAGCAATTTAACATCGGCTTAATATTTGAAAACCAACCAACCTAATTTATTAATTAACAAATAAAGGAGAACAATGTTATGATCATGTCAATAGGTAAAACAAATCACTTGGCAAAATAAAAGCTATCAGAAAAGTGGGAATGCAAGAGAACTCCTTGAGGCTAATAAATATATGGAGACTCTATAGCTAATGTAATAATGAAATATTGAATGCAATTTCTCTAAGATCAAGAATAATGCCAAGATGCTTAGTCTACATTTGTACCAGGGTTTCTAGCCACTCCAATAAGGCAAGGAAAGATTGGAAAGGAAGAAGTTAAATTTCATTACAGATGTCATTATTGTGTATGTAGAAAGATAGAAATCTAAGAAATCTACCAGAAAAACAAATAAAACTACCAGAACTATTGAGGAAATTGGCAAGGTCTCTAAATACAAGTTCAATATGTAAAAAATCAGTTGTATTTCTACACTTTAGCAACCAAAATTTGGGAATTGAAATTTTTTAAACTATTATATACAATAACACAAAAAGTCTAAAATACCTAGGAATAAACCTGACTGTAGATACACAAGACACTACAAACTATAAAATGATGCTGAGGCAAATTAAAGAAAACCTAAATAAATGGTATGATATGTCATGTTCAAGTGTCAAAAGATACAATACAGGTATTGTCAAGATACACCTTATCTCCAAGTTGATTTATAGATGCAACACAAGTCTGATCAAAATCCCATCGGATTTTTGTTGAAATAGGCAAGTTGATTCTTAAATTTATATCGAAATGCAAAGGACCTAAGATAGTCAAAACAATCTTGAAAAAGAAAATCAAACTTGGAAGACACACATTACCTGAAACAAAGACTCATTATATATTTACGGTAGGCAAGACAGTGTGGGCGTGGTGTGAGGACTGACAACTGTATCAGTGGAATAGAGTAGAATCCAGAAGTAGACCCACACGTGTAGTCAATTAGTTTTCAACAAAGGTACCAAGACAATTCAATGAGAAAGGTCAGCTCAGATTTGTTATGCTTTAGTCTTACATTAATTTTTCACATTTTATGTACTAGTCATTAAGGTCAAAGAGACTATGCCTCATTTATCTCTTATAAATACGTCAGAGCTAACATATCGTGAACGCTCCATATGTGTTTGTCGAGTGCAAGTGAATCAGAAACCAAAATGATATGCAGGAAGTTATCTATGTTGAGATTTGATACGTATTTTTAATCAAAGGAAGGCTCAGGTAATTGTTAAATTCAAAAACACAAGCTTCTAGAAGTCCATTTTTAGATACATGGACAAGGATTAAATTAAAACGTATATAATTTTTATTGAAATCTAAGCAGATTGGGAGTTGCCAGAGATAACTTTTCTTTCCAAGATGTGGCTACTTTGGTTCATATAGTTGATGAATATTAGATAAAGACACAACCGGAGACTCATGTCAAACCAGGTTCCCTCCATAGACCTGCACCGTACTGAAGCAATGATGATTCATTTATTCATTCAATATTTATCATGTACCTACTAGGTACCAAGCATATACAGTAATGACAAACAAGATATACATCACTCTGTCACCACTTTTCTCATGTGAAAATTGCCAAGGATATTTTAAGGCCTCACTAGAATAAATACTCTCTTATTCTAGAATATAAATTAGTAGTGATTGTACATGGTAGACCACCAATCTCATGCTCCTTATGTCTTATATTAGTGTTATCCAACAAATATAATGTAAACTACATATATAATTTCATATTCTCTAGGAGCTACATTTAAAAAGTATAAAGAAACAAGTGATAATTTTTACTAAGTCTTCAAATTTCAGTGTATATTTTACATTTGCAGCATATCTCAATTTGGACAAGCCATATTTCAAGTGTTCAGTAGCCATGTGGGGCTAGTGGGCACCTTATGGGACAGTGCAGGTTTATGTGAATCAGCTCCCACTGAGCTACTATCTATTGCAGTTTACAGGTGCATTCCAGAGAAATAGAGAACTGGTGGTATTTCTGGCCTGTAATGTTAGAGGAAAATCACTGGTATCCAGGAAAGAACTCCCATTATTCTACTGCTGGAAGTATCAAGATACATGGTCAAGATGGACCTAATTCTGCTATAGCTGTATGGCTGTCCACCAGTTTTCATCTGAAAGAGACCCAGAGTTATACTATATTTGAAGACAGATCTATTCAGCCAATGTGCAAATATATCCAAGTGGTCTTTGAGAATTTTAAACCTTTCCAGTGTTCAATGATTCCACCAATAATGAGACAGTTTCTCAGGACCCTAAAAAAAATACTGCTGCTTGCATTTCTCAATAAATATTTGTTAGACAAATGATGAAATTAACCCGTAGCTCACATATGAGATCTATGACACACAAAATATTTTCAGCTCTGGGTTAATGATTCCATGCTCATTGCATGCTTGTCTTACATTTACAGTTCTTTTGCATTTCAACAAAATAATTTTTCCCTATATTCTAAGGTCCCTTAGGCTATAACATAAGTCCCCTTATTTTCAGGAATATGACTAATTTACTACACTATGCACAGAGAGCTGTGTTTTAAATTCTCAATTTATGATGTCTCGTCAAGACTGAATCTCAACTGGGATTTAAAGAGGGAGTGAGTTGGAACCAGCTTGGACTTAATCACTGTTTTAACACAAATATTTATAGATTCATTATAAAATTAGTTTTTCACCTTTTACAGTAGAGTTTCTCGGCATGGCTGGTACCACCTATCTCCACTTCAGCAGAATCACCTGAGGAGCAGAATCCTGGGCCCACTGTTGAACTGGGATCCCTGGGGGAGGTGTTTGGGAATTTGCGTGTGGAATGAGTACCAAGGGAGACTCATTTCACGTAAAAGTTTGACAGCCGCTGCCCTGCAGTGAAGTTCCACTTTAGCATTATTAAAGATAAAATTGCATACTACTATTTGAATCTGTTTTGTTACTAGAGGAAATGCTGTTTTCAGTACTTACTTTATTTACTACCTTTGCTAAACATTTCATTGTGTCCTCTAAGTAAATTTTAAGGGTACTCATCAGCTCATAAAAAATATGTTGTGCTTTCTTGATACATGTAATACCTTATGAATGATGGATTCAACTAGAGTCAAATTATATTGATTAAAATGGGCTAATGTCTAAAATCAAGGTGATTAGGACTCAGATCATATTCTTTTGTACTTTCTTCTAGTGTAGTCTCTAATATTTGTGACAGTCTCAGGAAAGGTGTTCGTTGTTTCTTATTTTTTCTATTAAATCATTTTGAGTGTACCTTAATGCCATCATAATTCTACAGAAAGCCATTGAGCCAGACACAAGTGCTGGGGCTTCTTCAGAAATGAACTGGACTCAGTGTCTGCCCTTGACAAGGTCATGGCCTCCGCAGGGCAGGGGTGAGGGGCAGACATGGAAGCCTCGTGTTAAAATATAATGTGTGAAGTTTTTATGAGGCACCATGGGAGTAGAGAGAAGCGGGGATGGGCGTGACCATCCGAAAGGGGGCTGGGCTTCCCGAGATGACTGTGCTCTGTTTGAGTGCAAGCCAGAAAAGTGAAGACAGTCCCACAAGGTCATCCAGGACGTGGGGAATGTCAGAACTTGGGTCTCCCTGATCCAAACTGCACTCTTCGCGCTTTCTCCAAGAACCTGGACTTCATAAGCACACTGGCCTCCCTTTTCTCACACTCAAATCTCTCTGGTAGTAAGATGTTAAGGGTGATACATTTCCTTTTCAGGCCACTAAGGTGCCGTTTAATTTACTCCAGCAATAACTAAATACGAACCTGCCTTTAAAAGATGCTGAAAGCAACATGCTGCTAATTTATTGCCACATCTATTAAAGCTCCAGAGAGAATCTGACTCCCTGGATTTTAAATATAGTTGAGATATTTCCTGATTTAAGCCCTCCATAAATTAGATGCAGTGATTATAGTACCTGTTGTCACTTCATTCTTGCCCTATCTCCAATCACTCCTCTGCCTTCATTAATTCAGAATAAAATACCACAAGACATTAATGTAGCACTTGGAGATAGGAGGGCTACGTTTTTATAGCCTCAATATGAAATCATACTTAAAGACTCCTAAGCCTTTACTAGAATAGGTTGGGGGAAACCCTGCTTATCTCCTATAAGCCCCTCAATAACCTTCCTGGATAGTTTTGGGTGAAGAAACTGAGGCTGCGAAATGTTTAGTGGCTGGCCCAAGGTCACTCTGCAAGTAATTACCAGTGCTGAAACACATACCCAGGGCTTCTGACTCTAAGTACCAGGCTCTTTCTAGTATATCCTCTAATCTTCTGGGGATTCTATGAAAACAGTTTCTTGACTGTTTGCAATGAAAGTCGTTATTGCCAGCATGTAAACAAAAATAAAAATCTTGGCATCCCTCATCACTTTATCATCAGTGTTTTTAGTTTATCACTTCACAGTCATTATTTGGTGTTTTCTTACAGAAGGCAACAGACTACTGCAACAGAAACTGTCCTTAGATGGGAACCCCAAACCTATACATGGAACAACAGAGAGGTCAGATGGCCTACAGTGGTCAGCTGAGCAGCCTTGTAACCCAAGCAAGCCTAAGGCAAAAACATCTCCTGTTAAGTCCAATGCCCCTGCAGCTCATCTTGAAATAAAGCCAGATGAGTTGGCAAAGAAAAGAGGTAAAGTGATTTCTTTTGCACAAATGATTTAACATATTTTGCACACACAGAGAAGTGCCAGAATGACAGAACTTTCCAAAATATGCTGCTTAGCGAGGAGAGATGCACATGAAATTGCATTTCTTTCTTTGACCCACATAGATTGAAAGGCAGATGTGATTCCTCCCCTGTAATCAAAGGTCTTGAATATTTAAGTGGAATTACATCCCTTTTCTCTGCCCGTCTGTGGCCATTCTTCTCTTTGTAGGCATGGATAAATAAATGCCTTCTACTCTAATATCTTATAAAGCAAGTTTTCATATAGGAGCTCTTTTAAAAATGTGAATGCTGAAAGACACTAATGTTTCCCTTATATGTACACTTTCTTGACTTACATTGAATGAAGATGAGCCTGGAGGGCTTGCCTGTGTTCTTTAGATGTGGCCTTCCCATGTATATGCAATTCTATGTTAGAACTCTCAATGTAACACTGAAAACGTGTTTTATATTTGACATGCTGGATTTTTATGATTTTTTGAGCTTTGATATACTTGATAATAACTGGTATTAAAAGCAAAAGGGGCTAAATCACTTCCTTTTTGATTCCCAGAAGATTAAATAATATTCTTCTTATTCCGCCTCAGTTGTATCTGATTTCCTTGGCTTTGGTTTGATAGACTTTCTCACTTTTCTTGAGGGGAATTTATTTCTTCTAAGAAACATGCTCTTATTGGGATAAATACAATCTGCCTATTTGCTATGCACTATCTGTAGACCCTGGTGGCAGTTTCAGGAAATCAGGCGAGATGGGCACCCACAGAGCGGCTGCTGTAATTACAGGCCTGGCTCAGGGTGACGGGGCCAGCGCCAGCATACCTGGCACCGACACGCCATCCTCCCTCTAGCTCATTTGTACCTCTCCCAATCTCTGTGTCATTTTCTTGTTCCAAAAGCCCTGCTGGCTTTTAACCACACAAAGTGGTGTTTATAGAGAGAGCCAGCAGCACAAATGGTCTTTAGACATATCAGATTCTAAGACTCTGCCGTTTGTGATAGAACAGAATGATCAGAGCCTCTTTCCAAAGAGCACAGGAGACAAGCGTACCCCACACAGCCCAGCCAGAGCCCCCACTGGTGAAATCATAGCAGTCTCAGGTGCCATACAGACCACTCATTCTGGGTTGTAAACATTCTCCTGACGGAATTCTTTTTTTTTTTTCTCATTGAAAAACCAAAGATCCAGTGCTTCTTATGGTTGGTTTAAAAAAAGAGAGAGAAGAAAAAAAAATGAGTCTCTTATTGGTAGGTTAGTTGCTTTATCTTGTTGTTTAGCATACAATAAAGGATAAAGTGGTCAAGTTAACAATTTTTTTCTTAACCTCAATTTTAGGCCCAAATATTGAGAAATCAGTGAAGGATTTGCAACGCTGCACTGTTTCTCTAACTAGATATCGCGTCATGATCAAGGAAGAAGTGGATAGTTCCGTGAAGAAGATCAAAGCTGCCTTTGCTGAATTACACAACTGGTGAGTTATTCGACTTAGGGACTATAAATGAACTATAAATTTATGGTGCTTGAGCTGTTCAGATAGGTAAAAGCGTCAGATGGAAAACGTTATTTATTTAATACATAAACATGACAAAATAACTGTCCAGCAGATTTTTTAAAGCCCTGCAGGCAGGAGCATATATCTTGGGAATAAAAAAGAAGATAAAGTATTTGGATAAAAAGACACCTGATAGACATAGTTCATTAGAGTTTAATGTTGGCCCAAAAGTATATGAATGATATAGAACAAAACATCAAAAATAATATTTTTGAAAAATCCCCCAAAAGGCTAATATTATGAGTACTACTAAGAAAACAAAATATTTTCCAGCATTATAATTATAAAACAAGAAAAATTCCCTTAACAAAACTCAGAAACATCTTACGTAAGCTTAGTGATAGAATCCCATCCTTGGGCATCTTTAAGACTAGAATAAGAAATGGTGCATTAATATGGTTTTGGTCACTGTGCCCTGCCCTGAAACTGATTCTGATGGAAGACATTTCTTTAAGCCCTGTACATTTGTTCATGTCCACAGTTGAAATATCTGTTAATAATGGTTTAGTTATTATCAGTAGAAAAATGTTCTTGGTGTATCAGTTAGGACTCTTTCAGTTTCAAGTGACAGAAACCAAGTCACACTAGTGAAAGAGAAAAGAGAATTTATTGGCTCAAGTACAGGAAAATTCCAAAAGATTCCTTTAGGCAAATTTGGTTCTAAACCCAAATTGTGGTCTACAGCCATACCACCCTGAACGCACCCAATCTTGTCTAAACCCAAATTATGTTATCAGGACTCAGTTTCTCTCTGTCTCCTCCATTTCCCCCCATTCCTCTCTCAGTGTCTCTCAAAATCTCCTTGTTCTGCTTATTCTTGGCTTCATTCTTAGGTGGCATCTTTCCATGTGGCAGCAAAGGTGCCACATGGCACCACCTCCTGCAGCTCCCAATTTATATAATTCTTAGTCCCTAAGATCTGAGAGAGAGCTTTGTCTCCATAGTTCCACCAAAGTCCAAGGCTCATTCCATTGGCTGGGTTGGGTCCCGTATCTGTCCCCAAACCAGTCACCCTGGCAAGAGGGACAGAATCTTCCCAGCAGCCAGGCAGAGATCGAGTGCTTACCACAGAGTTAGCAGCTGGGTGGGCTGCACCTCAGTCCCATGCACTAAAGTGGAGGAGCCATGGTTCCCCAGAGGAAAGTTGAGATGCTAACACCAAAAGAGAGAGAAGACATGTAGGAGAAAGAAAACACACATCTGCAATGCCCAGGCTCATGTAGCATGTTCCCTATATTTCACTGGCCTCCCATGATTCTAGAATTCGATCACATCTTCTGCGTATTTTTCCTATTCCAAGTCCTTACTTTGACATCGATGTGCTTTTTAGCAGAAACTGTGGAGTTGTATAAAACTAAGGATTAAGCTTAACACTAGCCTAATGTAAAATTCATGAATTTTAAATCAACTGCTACATATGAGATTCTAAGAGTACAGAAGACACCAGGAACTTGAGAGAAAACCATCGCCTTCTGTTGTCATCCAGCCCCTCACAGGCACTCTGAGGCAAAGTATCCTTCACCTACCTACCCTCATCATGGCGTCTGGATGTCACTGTACCCCTTCTCTGTTTGATCAGGTTATAACCTAACAAATTACTCAAAGCAACTCCAAGAATACGTTTGAGTACTTAGAGAAGTTAAAGATGCTACACATATGAAAGGTGTTGTCATTATTGTTATTTTATAGTTATATGACTTTTCCAATCTATTCTTAAGCAAGTTACCCCACTACTTGTAAGCACACCGAACTGTTCTCTAGAGCCGGGGTCAGCCGACTTTATCTCTGCAGGACCAGCTAATAAACAGCCTAATCATTACGGGCATACGGTGTCTGTGTTAACTGCCCAGCTCTGCTACTGCTGCACAGAAACAGCCCTGGATAATGCAGAAATGCGGGGGCCACATTCAGCCCGTGGGGGTTGTATTAAATAGTTTGCCAGCCCCTGTCTAAAGGCATTAGATAGCTGCTCAGAGAAGACCACTCTGTCTTCTTCTTTTGCATTTTAGAATCAAGTCATCCTCTGAGGCCTCTGTACACCTTCCATCTGAGTGACTCACACACTAATTGACAAAGTGTAGCAATGACCTCAAATTACCTCTCTGCTCCAGCTGCTCTGAGTACTTCTTATTTTATTATATTTCTTAGTAAAATGAACATCACATGGGTCACAAGACATCTTGAGATGTATAACAGATTCTTTGAGTGTTTTACTCCTCAAGAGCTGACATTGTGGGGCCAGGAAAGCCAGCACCCAAGGAAGTTGTGTGCCTTTTCTCTGCTTGTAATTCACGTTGGGTTTTAAACCGATGGAAGGGATCACTTCTGAATGAGCTCTGCCAAGCCATGCTGCTGTTTAAAAGCCACTTACTTAACAAAATGGCACTTTTCCTTGAAACTGAAGAAGAAAACATTTAGATCAACCATTTGGGGTATGCTGTTGCTATAAAGTGAATAAACACCAGCACTTGTTTTCTGATTTCTTAATAAAAAATGATCCCACAATAATTGCATAAATGTTAACTTAAAAATAAAACCAGTGTAATTTTTTTTAAATCAACCATTTACATGCATGACTGCCAAATGGAAAAACTGTGCCTCAGTTCCAAATAAGCCTGCAGCCCAGCAGACGTGGTGCCGGACTTGAGTAAAGCCTCCCTTTTGTTTTCCAAGGGCAAGGAAACGATGAATTTTAGGGATAGTGGTGCTCTTGAAAATTCTTTTAAAACAAAGCTTTCCTATTGACGGTGAAATCGTGTGCTTTAAGCATTAGAGAGAACTCTGAATGTAGTGCCACTCATCTTAGTGCAATTGTAACCTCAGTATTACATCATAAGATAAATCTAGATGTGGAGCACATGGACGCACATATTCCATTTCCAGGTCCCCTTCTCCTTTTCTAACTTTGGGCCACCCAACGCTCTTAACCCTAAAGTCCTCAGCAGGCATAGTTTAGAAATGGAAACTCTCAGATAAAAGATTCTAAACATTCACCTTGCTACCAAAGCGCCAGCTTAAGGACGTGAGTCCTACTTGACTAAATTCCACAAAAAAACACTGTTGGAATTCATGAGAATGATGATTTCAGGAGGCTGGGAGAAAGCCGTTGTTTGCACATCCTCGATACCAAGTGAGCACACATCAAGGCAAAATGAGCTAAATGATTATCTTTCCCAGGCTGTGAAGAATTACTTTGTTCAATACTGTTATTGAAGAAAACTATTAGGTAGCTAAAATACAAAATCAAACCTGGTATTTAACGAGGACACAGTTATATGAGGCTATATGGCCACAACATAGAGCATTCTCATTTTCCCAGAAGGAACTAGGGGTTTAAGAGAAGAACAAAGAGGAGACAGTGCTCTCGCAATCTGTATTAACAGAAAAAAAATTTTGCGACCTGAGCATCTATGCAGAAAGTCACATCAGGAGCTAACATGAAACAGCTGGTTTCTCTTCAGTATGATTGGCCTCCTACCACAACTGGAAAATATTCATCCTTTGGAATCGTAGATGCCAGATTTAATTGCTTTGTATGCAAACTAGTCTAGCTTCTCGTCGCAAATTTCTGAGTGTGTGTCCAAGTTGATTGTGAAGGCTTAAAATGAGCAATAAAACATTAAATTCAAAAAAAATATTGAGAAAAGAGAATAATACTTGATAGTTCTGCCATATGCTGGGGGGGGGAAGTGTTTGAAAATAGAGCTGTAAAGATTCTGTTAGGTGCTATTGTCAATCTAACATCTAATTAAAAGCACTCTGAGAGAAAATGGAAGATGATAATGAGCCAGTGGGGCAGCATTTGCTGGGGTGGGAATGAGGTGAAGGCGTTGCAGCGAACAAGGTTCTCAGGGGGCAATCTTTTTAGGCTGCTTTGCTTTCAGATAGGAAAGGGAGATCAGTCAAAGCACGTGTTCTGTATAAAGGGGCCAGAAGTTCCTGTGCTTCATGATTATTTTTTCCTAAAGCATTTCCAGGTCTGACCCAAGCAGAATTTGAAAGTAGGTCAGGAGTTCCAGCTCCCCCCACCCTGAACCCTTGCCCACTTCCCCTTCCTCTGCCAGCTTTCCCTCATCTCAGAGTCTCCTCCTGCACAGCCAAGACAGGGAGGACCTCCTCCTGCCTCCTGCTTGGGGCTTGAGGCCAGGGCTCCTCACCATGACACCACAGTGATGGGCACTTAGAATAGCATCTCCATGTCCCTTTTCCTTTCTTTTTGCCATTGAAACTCATTTGTATTGTGTAACTACTAGCTCATCCTTTTGATGACCATGTGTCCTCCTCCCAGTGACATATTTGCATGCTAACAAATGCTTTCTTGAGACCCTCTCCCCCAGCCAAAAGAAGAACCTAAAAGTGCAAATTTCAGGCCAAGGAAAAAGCTATTTTGAGATAAGTTTATCTTTCGTATCTCTCAAATCCCTCTCATCTGCTACTGAAGCTCTGCTGGTAGCCAAGCAAAATCATGCACAGATTATCAGGGTAATCAACAGGGTGGCCACACACACACCAGATATCATCACTTGCCGTTTTAAATACTGTGCCCTATTTCTAGGGTGTGAGCTTGAGATGGCCTCCCAAATGGGAAATTGCCAGTGGGGTTGTTGCATTTCAGAACAACCTATATGACAATCTCTCCCATATCCCCCGCTTTGCTGCTTGTTGGATGCCCAAATAATATGAAATTGTTGAAACATATGTCCTTGGAGCCACTTTAGTTTGAGTCCAAAAAAGACCATTTTTCTTCACTTTTGCAGGTTTATCACAGCTGATTTTTGCCATGCTTCCCCCCACACCATTCTCCAAATTTTAGCCGTTTTTGTGGGATACCTGGCTCTCCAAACAATGATAAAAGCCTGGTTTTTCTGTGTCCTTCGGGTTTTTTATTTGTTCTCTTTGTGAATAACTTAACATTGAAA